GCTGCTCGGCGAGGGAGAAGCAGCAGCGGCCGAGGCTCCGGCGGGAGCCGCCGGGGAAAGGTGGGAGCTGCCCTGGCCTGCGAGGGGAAATGCCTTCCTGGCCCCAGCATTGACGGGCAGTTTGGTCTTGTGCTGTGTTGGTAAACTGTGCTGTGTAGGCAACTGAAACGACAGTCGTTTGTACCGCTGTAGAGACCCAGTCGTTTCTGTCTGGTGCTCTCTCTTTGGCTGGGACTAGACTGATGCTTTGGCTGAAGTGAGACAGGGAAATGCAGAACTCACTTAAGCAATTGTGCAGCAGGCAGAGCTCCTCCTTCCTCTCTGCAGGTGGCTGGGTGGAGCTCTCCGGGGTGAGGTACCTTTGTAATTGCCTTAGTGGAAGTCTGCAAGTGTTGGCTGGTACTGCGGAGAGTGGTGCGGGAGCTCATAATCCCCTCCTTTGTGATCCCTGAGGGGAAGGGCAGGGATCGTGTCAGTTCTGTGTTTCAAAGGCCGAAGAAGATGCTATAATCCTCTGACTTTGGTCTATAAAGTTTATCATTACGCTTTTTAGTGCATAATTACTCATTCTGTGTTTCACTTGCCCTGCTAGGAAATTGCATCTTATCAGGAAACTGATTGATTTAACTTTACCTTCCTGATGCCAACTCTTTAAGCAAAGCCAAAAGCCCTGCTGCCAGAAATCTGCATAGGAAGGGGGAAAACTGATCTTCTATTTCACTGGTTGAATGAACTGAGCTTCTCATGTTATGTGCTTTAAGGCTGGATTTCTATAACTCATATGGCAAAGTGACCAGAAGTGATTTTTTTTTTTAATTTGGTATGTGTGTGTGTGGGGGGTGTGTGTGTGTCATGTAATATTCCTTTTGTTAGGATGAAAAACTTCTACGTAGGTTCTGGGTCTAATGGAAAAAAACCTCTCCAAATGTAAATTGAAAGTGTGAGCAGCCAGCTAAACATGTGGGAAAAACATAACTGTAGAAGGTGTAGGAAACTACTGTAAGATTGCTAGACTCTGACATGTAGCTAACGAACTGTCTGTCTTTACACAGTCCACTCTCACAATGATTTCCTCCTGGCTATCCTTACCCGATGCCAAATCTTGGTTTCTGCACCAGGTAAGTCCCAAGAAGATTCATTAAAAATAAATGGATAGCAGAGCTTTTGTACATGTGTTTGGCAGCTTTATATATATGTCTGTGTGTGTGTATATATGTATTTATATATAAAGCACGCTAACTTTCTGGGCCTCAGTATTCATATTCTTTTTGCCACATAGTAGATGCTGTGTTAGGTAGTAGTTATCCAGATAATTTCAGTAGTAACACTTTTATAAATAAACTGTGTATACCTGATCAGAGGCTAATGCTCTCATTTGTGGTTTGCAGTGTGCTGTTTTGATTTCTAGATTAGGTATTTGTTGGGCCACGAGTGCTGAGAGCTGAAGTGTGAAGGGAGGTGGTGCTTTGCTGTCTTTGATCTGCTTTGCTTATTGCTTTCGATTTCTTTTGAACTTGGTCATACTCTTTGTTCTCCTCTCTGATGAGGATAACATCTTGGGAGAGCTGGATTTTCCTGGTTGATCTTGGAATCAAGTACGTGTCTGATAGAAAAATGCTTACTGTGGATGCTTATGGTAAAGTCTTAATTGAGCCATGGCCAGTTACTTCAGTCCTCTGTAGCTATGATAATTAACCTGTTTAATTCTCTAAGTATTTAGAAAGATTGTTGTCACAGTGACAAGACAGCTCTTTTGAAGACTGAACAAAACATCTCCATCTAGAGATTTGATGTGAGCAATAACTGAGCTGCATTTTAGAACATGAAAATGTTGTGCAGTTAGGGGGAAAATGTTATAGCTTTGATAGGCTGAAATCTGAGAAATGAGGTTTTAGAGATGAGAGAGCGCCTGATGTAGCTGGAGGAAGGAAAAATTTATGGCTACCCAGAGCTCTTGTGTCATGACTGTTCTTCAGCTATACCAGCTGGGATAATAAAATATTACCTCCCTTCTCAAAACTTGCTTTGTCTGCTCCTGAGCTCTACAGGCACCTTTTTTTGAGTCCCGTTCTGGTGCTCTTTAGCTGTCTGCTCTCGTATAATTCAGAAGATTTATGTTTAAATTCTGCTGCTCCTTGCTTTTGCCTTACAGTGCTAACAGCTGGATTATAAAACAAAGGTCAAGAGCAACAATTCCCCTGTGAGTTTTACCTGAAACAGCAGAGTCTAGCAGTGCTTTCAGAAGATCTCCAGATCTGTAGATCTTTAGCCAAAATAAATATCACTAATAATAATCTTCACAGAGTGACTATATCCTAACGATATCCCATGAAATACTTAATATGATACAAAAAATAGTGCTTTGAGCTTTCAGTCTTTACTAGTTAGATTTTAGTTCCTAACTTAAATATAAATTAAACAACTTAAAAAGACCCTGCCGTTTTTCCTTGATGAAAGTGTATTGATGTCTGAGTCCTGTAAAATACTGTATATGTGTGGAACACGATTCATCTCATCTTCCAAATCTTCTTTGAAATGTTCCTGCACATCCTCCCCTTCATTGCCAGTCTCTTGACCAGTACCAGTCAGTAGCTCCCCTATCCTTGTTTGCTTAATCCAGTGCTAGTGCACAGACTGCTGTTGAGTTAGCAAGAATAGATGTGGCTGCACTTCGTGAGCCTCAGATGGTTCTGAATGCAAGTGATGCAGGTGTTTGCGGAGTGTCCAAACTCTGTGGCATTGTTTTTGAGCTGTCAGTGCCATGAATTCGTGTTGTAGGGATTGACTCCAAACTGGTGCTTGATGTTAAGGAATGTGTTGCCAGCAAATGAAGCACACTGTGTGTAGTGGAAAGAGGCTGGAGTCATTCACCTCCTCTTGGCATGGTTGGTTTCCTGCGGTACTCTTAGCACAATGTGAAACAGAAAGGATTTATGGGTGGTAAAGTAGGACTTCTGTCATGTTGTTTGTTTCTATATGCTTGTTTTAATTTTAAGTTGTTGATGGAGTTGCATAAAAATATTCTCTACTTTGGGTTTTATGACTTAAAGCTAAGTTCCTGAAGGCTTGTGCCCCTGAAAGCTGGTGTCCCATCCCCTGTTTCATTCCTTGGGACCTCTTACGAATACCTGCCTGTGTTGTAGGAGTTGGCCTTCTGTCCCAGGGTTCCCAACACTAATGAAAAAATACACCCAGCAGGTCTGCGGCCGTCTTCTGTTCTTTGGCTTAGATCTGTCCTCCCAGTGGTAGATAGTAGACATCAGTGGACACTTCTAGTGCCCTATTGCTATGTTCTTACAGCGAAACTCCCCTGATACGTGTTGCCAGTCTTCAGAAATTTGTGGTTCATACACACCCTGAGTTGGCATCACTACCAACTCAGTAGTGGTAGTGAGCGGGGTGTTTCATTACTTCCCCCCCCGCCCATGCACTTTCTAATTGTTTTCTGAACCTGTGGTAGTAAGAGCTTATTCAGTATTTCACAGCAACGTTCACCTCACTTGGCAAACAGTCATTCCCTATCCATCGTATGTATGGATAAAGTTAGGGCACTCCTAACTTTACTGACTTTTTCTCCTGCCCTGCCTTTTCTTTTCCAAGGTGACAAATCCTAATCTACTTTGTTCATGCATGGAGCCCTTTCCATACCTTTGAGCTTCCTGGTCTTCTGTTATTGTTCAGATTTTTTTTTTTTTTGGTATTCAGGATGCAGGCATGCTTTGGCTTTATGTAGGGACAAAGCAATGTTCTCTCTTGCTAGCATCTGATTTTGGTTTTTTCTAATAACTGCTGAGCACAGAGTTGATGTGACCTCTGTTGCCGTGCTCACAACCTAAAGGTCTTGCTTCTGAGTGGTGGTAGTTAGAGCTCGTCACTGTGTAGCTGAAGTTGACGTTGTTTATTTCTCTGTGAACTACTCCATGCTTACCTCTATTGAATTTCACCTGTGAATTTATCACCTAGTCATTTAGTTTCATGCAACTGTTCTGCAGCTGTTTGGACAGGCTTAATCTTTACTGACTTGAATAGCTCAGACTGCTGGCCAACTTTCAGTTCCCCATTACCATATTTTCAAGCCTGTCTAGGAATGAGTTAAAACTATGAGCCCCAGCAAAAAGCAGCGTTGCACTCCACAGGCGCCTTCCATATGCTTGAAAGCTACTCATTCTTTATTACCTCTTGACCTTTTTAAATCTCAAGTCCTTGTGAGGACTTTGCCTCTTGTCCTATTCAAGCGTACTTTCTATAAGAGCCCTTGAAGAACCCTGTTTTGTAATGCCTCAATAAATTTGCAACAGAATGTAATAAAGTGCTAGTGCTAGCTGACCAGCTACCTTACCAAGTGCTGACAAGCTGACAACCACCGGTGCTTCCAGGCAGGCTTTTATTGGCTTGATGTCTGCAGATCTGCAGACATCTTCTTAAAAAATTCAATTTGATCATGCGTGTGTTTTTAAGACATGATTTGGTGCTCAGCAGTTAGCAGTATGTGCTGATAGTCCCTTCTAGAGTCTTTCTTTCTGTCTCAATTGCCAGATCTTTGAGGATTCTAAGGATTTTGGAGCTGATCTGTGCTGAGACACCTCAGTCTGGGATGCTGACTGGCTCACTAGCAGATCTGTTACACATGCATTTTACTAGACAGTATCCTGTACACGGGTTAGTCAATTATGTATGCAAGTCCAGGGAACTGCAATACAAATGGAATACTGGATGATATGTCTAGAGACTTTTTTCCTTGATGCCCATCGGACATCTGTAGTTTCTGTGTAAAAATGGAAGCTAACAGGGTCTTGTTTCTACCACTGTCTATTAGATAAAAGGTGTTCACTTCATGATTCATGGCAACAAGTAATTTTAAAGAAGCACACTGGATGCGCTTGGTATGTCATCACAAGTATTGCTGTTGCGTGTAGTTTCCACCCTCATGAGAGAGAGACAAGGAGAAAAACCTGTCTTTAAAAAGCCATTTCCTATTTAAAAAAATAAAAGGGGGGGGGGTAGGGTAATTGTTACCAGCATACTTGATATTATAGCATTTGGAGTAGGAAGCCTTGGAGAAGGCATTTTTAAGGAGGGATTACAATACCTAATGAACCATACAAACAAGCCCATCTAATCCAGAGTTTGCTACCTCTCATAGTGGTGGTTCTTCCTGGGCTTATAAGCGAACATGGGGTGAGTGCGACCCTTTGGTAAGAAAGAAGCCTCTCTACTTCATCTCTTACCTGCTTAGGCTATTGATCATGCAAACTTCAAGTCCCAAATCAACATCCTGTGTGACACAGGGTGCTTAGGACTTGATAACGGAGAGCAGAGAAGGCTCGTATCTTTTCTGATGTGAAGAATGACCAGTTTTCTTTTAATATCTGCTCAGCTCCCAGTGAGGACAAAGCAGGATTCTGAGGAAGTACTGTTTGGAAGATACTAAATCTGACTTCTCTGTCCTTTTTTTAAAAAAAACAAGGGATGTTGTTTCTCCATCCTGGTGTAAAGGCATCAAAAATACTTGAGTGGCACCCAGGTGCAGCATAACTGGGAAGTCGTGGAAGTACCTAAAGTGAGAGGAACTTCCCAGAAACATGCTATCTAAAATACTAGGAACTGTCTTAGTGCTGGTTTCAGGTTGGCGATATTAGCTTGAGTGGTGTGGCAGATTTTCCATAACAAGAAAACTGTTTTCTTTGGTATTCTCTCTTTAACAATATTTTAAGAAGTGCTTGTCTGAGTTTATGGCTGGATTTTCTCTTTGAGAGAAATTTTGTCAAGAACAAATCCAGTTTAAAACCTTTCTTAACCTTCATGGATTTGCTCACTAAGCCTGTTTTGTTTGTGTAAAATTGCAAACAATCAAGTTAGCAAGATTTCTTGAGTTAATACATCTCACTTTTGAACTGTTGCCTTCCTCCTTCGTTAAAAGTTAATTGAATAAAACTTAAACAACCGCAAGCACTTGAGTTAGTGATGAAAGGATTTAGTTTATTTACTAATAATCTTGGGCCAACCAAGAATTGGTTCAGAGAGTTAAAACTCTTGCCAGGATAGCAGAAGCATTTTATTGTTTCAGGGTTGCCCTCAGGCCTTGCTTTAAGGGCAAACTATAAAAAAGTGCCAGCTATGAGAGAGAGGCTCAGGTTGCCTGTGTTCCTCTTCTTTCCAGAGAGTGGAGAAGGGAGTAAAAGAGGAAAACGGGAGTATGAATTCTTGCCCTAAGAGTCATCAGAAAATGTTTGACTAAATCTCCGTCCCTGCAAGAAGATAAAATACTGAAAGTCAAATGCATGAGGTGGGAAGGGGGAAGGAAAGCATATTTTCTATGCCTGGCTGTTGTTCTCTATGTATCTTAGTCCTTTCCTCCTGTGCTTTGCTGTTGCAGCACGTTAGGAAAATCTGACATATTCTGCCTGGACTGTCTGCTGTCATCACCACAGAGAAATGGCAGCTTTTAGAAAAACATTCTTATCTATTGCTCATCTTTGAGGGCAGTTCAGCAGTCGTTACTGATGGTCTGTTAACGTCTAACTGTCTTGCTGGCAAGAATAAATAAATAAATGCTAGCCTCTCTTAAGTTTCACGCCTAAGCCAACTCAGCCTTCTCGTTTGTAGTCAGGAAAGTAGATATTGGTTTTCTTAGAATAGCGGAGGGAAACTTTGCTTTCTTGATCTAATGTCAGCCAGGCTTATTAATATGAAAACCTTGAAAGGAGTCAAAAAAATCTGCCCTGGGCTCTTTGTAATGGGAAATAGGAAACTGTAGTTTGACCGTTCCCTGTTCTAAATCTGGCTGTGTTTTTGTTAAATGTGCAAGCTCAGATTCAGTAGAGTTGCATCTTTCTGACCTATTATCAAAAACTAAAATGCCATTTAGTTTAAAAGTTAGTTATTTTTAAATAAGTCATTTTTAAAGCTGACTCTACTTTAACCTGTTATATTTTACGTGACTCTACTTTAACCTGTTATATATTATGTCAGATAACATGGAGGGCGTTGTGTGTGCCGTTTCTGTCTCCAGCCACTCTACTTTCATCGAGGCACACAGCTGGCTAAGGATACTTTCGTAAGTGAGGTTACACAAGAGCTGTGTGAGCCTTCTGACAAGGAGGAAGGCCTGCAGTGGGTAACGTTACAAGCTGGCAAGAGAGACGTTATTACTAGAAGCTTTGAAATGGGCCAGGCAATTCCTCTGTTTGTCCTTAACACACCAAACCCCTTCTTCCTAGATGGGACCTGACCTAGCACGGAGGAAAGGAGGAGGAAAGAAAGGATTTATCTGTAAAGAGTAACACGTCTTGGGAGAAAAGCAGCAATCTTTTGATAAATCCTAAAATGTAAATCTTGAGATTTCAGTGGGGGGCAGCAGTGGTCCTTGATGACTGCCTGCGATTCCTTCCCATGCCCCGTTGTTAGGACCTCTGTTTCAGTATTGTCTTGATGAATAGTGACATTACTTTATGATTCTGGGAGAAGGTCTAATTATTACCTTTTAATTCCTTGGAATCAACTGTTGGACTTTAACAATAAACTGTGTGAGTTTCTCATCACTAATAGGGTGTAGCTAAACTTTATAGTAAACTGCTTTTTGGGGGTGGGGGCCTAAATGTGCAAGCTGTTTCTAACTTCTTCACAGCTGATCATTCATAAACTTCATCTGCATCCTCTGTTTTAACCTGATCCAAAAGATTCATCTATTAGAAGTTCCCCTCACCCATGGCAGAGGACACTATGGTCTTGATGCATCTGTGAGTGTGTGAGGCTACACGTAGCCAAGGACTTCCAGCCAGCTTCATCTCTAGAAAGAGGGCTGCAGTATAATTGTATTTATGAATTCCTAATTACAACAAATCAAACATAGTTGTAGGAGCCTGTGGCAAGCAGACTGGTGTGAAGTTGGTCTCGCGCCTTGGCAGGCTGTGGTAACAGGAGAGAATAGCAGAACTGGCTGAGGGTTTGTCAGTGCTCAGCACGCAATGCTTGAGATAGGCCAATTTGTGAGTGGTGAGCCATAGGATGGCTGCTGTGATGCGCTGTCCAAATTTTGAGGGAACGGCAGATGCCATCTTTGGTTCAGGTCTGACTAGGAAACGTCTGAGACTTCACAGTGCTGCTCTCAGCGTTGCCAGGGCAGCAGAAGCCCAGCCTCCTATCCAGACACCACTAGAGTGCCTTCCAGGTCATGTTGTCTCAGCTCCCTGGAGTTGGGTGGTGACCCCAGCACTGGGCATACTCTGCTCAGAGCTCCAGAGGAAGAAGGATACTGATTTCCTGTGCAAAGCCAAAGGAGGCAAGTACTGGTGAAACGAAGCAGAAGTTGTCTCTGTAGCCACAAGAGGGCTGTCCAGTCTTGGGTTGCAGGAAACACTACTTTTTCTTCACTGTCAGCAAGCATAAAGGCACAGGATGCAATCTCCTCTTAAGCCCAGATATGTCTGAATGAGAGCTGTGCACAAATTTTGTAAACCTGTTGGTAGCAAATCTGCTAGGCTGTCCTTGCCAAGAGCTGTATGATTATCAAGAAATGCTTTGGTCTGCTGTAGGTAGAGCTAGCTATCAAACTGCATAGAGTGGGTTTTTGAGTAGTCTCCTCAAGGTGATGTGGCTCAAGCTCACTGTTCATATTGGTGTCATCCTGCTCCTGGACTCTACAGCCTTTGCATTTCTCCCACCCTGACCTTTCCACTTCAGTGCAACAAGAATGATTATCCTTGGTGCTCAAGGAGAGTCCAAGACAAAGTGTGCTAAACCCTGGAAAGGTGATGGAACAGCTCATCCTGGAGGTCATCACTAAGCATGTGGAGGACAAGAAGGTGATCAGGAGTAGTCAGCATGGATTCACCAAAGGGAAATCATGCTTGACCCATCTGATAGCCTTCTATGATGGAATGACTGGCTGGGTAGATGAGGGCAGAGCAGTGGATGTTGTCTCCCTGGACTTCACCAAGGCTTTGGACACTGTCTCCCATCACATCCTCGTAGGTAAACTCAGGAGATGTGGGTTACGTGAGTGGACGGTGAGGTGGATTGAGAACTGGCTGGATGGCAGAGTTCAGAAGGTTGTGGTCAGTGGCACAGAGTCTAGTTCGAGGCATGTAGCTAGCGGTGTCCCCCAGGGGTCAGTCCTGGGTCCAGTCTTGTTCCGTGTATTCATCAGTGACCTGGAGGAAGGGACAGAGTGCACCCTCAGCAAGTTTGCTGATGATACTAAACTGGGGGGAGTGGCTGACACACCAGAGGACTGTGCTGCCGTTCAGAGGGAGCTGGACAGGCTGGAGAGGTGGGCGGAGAGGAACCGCATGAAATTCAACAAAGGCAAGTGCAGGGTCCTGCACCTAGGGAGGAAGAACCCCATGCAGCAGTGCAGGCTGGGGGTTGACCTGCTGGAAAGGAGCTCTGCAGAGAAGGACCTGGGAGTCCTGGTGGACAAGTTAACCATGAGCCAGGAATGTGCCCTTGCGGCCAAGAAGGCCAATGG